ATAAATTTTGCGAAAAAAGTAGTAGTTTTACTTCAATTTAATGAATTTGTTTTTAAATTTTAACCTTCATTTGGGTTTACTGGCGATAAACACTTTGAGAGAAAAGCGCAAATAAAAAAAGTCGTTATTGTATAGTTTTTAAATTTAACCTCTTTGGGTTTCACCAGGGGGTTTGGGAGAAAAGCGCAAGCGGCACGCAAGTCTTCGTCGGTTACTTTATTACATATCTTCTGTAACCATAGGCTAATTTCCTCCCACTAGGAAGGAATTCATTCGACCAACCCTATACAGTTTGTTTTTTTATACAAAATTTAAGAAAAAATACACCTGAAAAAGAGGTGTGTGCCGCATGTACTTATCTCCCAAAGCTAGCAAATGCAAATAATAGGTTTTGCGCATGGTATGATCGAAACTGGTCGAAGAATGTCAGACCTCTCTCCCAATCGCTTCGATCTACTTAAAAAAAAGGTAATTACGTTGCCAAAAACTGTATGCCTGATAAATTGGATAGCCATATCTCCAGGTTAGGAGCGAGTAGGTGTTCATGTGGTAATCGGTGCATTATACCTGGATAGAAGGGCTTACATATAGTCGCGTCAGCGAGTGCTGAGCGAAAACCCTGGCATATAAAATTACAAAGTGACAGCAGGCGGTCAAAGAAATGTCTGCAGATAGCTTAGCGCCATTAGGAGCCCATGCGGTATGACTTAATATCCTATCGTGCTCTTATTGCCGCAGCTGCTTTGTGAATGACGAGGTGAAATCTTTTCAATAAATCCTTCTTAGCTGGCCTACTTTGGCTTGCCTAAGGTTTCACTTGTGTTACTTTTCCTAACAACTTCATATGGATTACCTACAGTTACCCATCCAGGAACCATTTACTACTTAGTGGTAACACAATGGACAATATAAGTGATATCTCGCTGTCACCCAGGGCTTCGGAGCGAAGCGGAGCAAAGCAGCAAGGAGCTAAGGAGCAAAGAATTTTATCTGGAGCGGAGCTAGAGCAAAGAGCTAAAAAAATTAATTTGCTCCCTAGATCCCAAAAAAAATTTGTATTTTTTCCTGGACTAGTAACGATTTATTTTTAAATATTTATGTTAGTTGTTTTTTCACAAAAATTTTCAATAATAACCTCCCCAAGCTCAATAGCAATTTAAAAAAACTTTCAGTTAATAAATTTGCAATTCTGTTAAATAAATTTCCATTCTTGTTAATGAACTCGCCAATTTTATTAATTTTATTTTGGATGCAGCAGTTTTCCTGAAGAATCTAGATGAATTTCTGCATCAAAGCGGGGAGTGGGGCAAGAGCGCACAGTGGTTCGGATCGCAAATCTAGCTGGACGAAACTATTTAAACAAATACTCGTTTATGGATCTTTACACCACTTCTTACCTAGGGGATTTTTGAGTCGCTGATTACGAATCTGAAGTCACTTATCAAAAATTCAAAATGGCGGATCCAATATGGCGGACGAAAATTTAAAAAAATCTGGTAGATTTTATGAAACTGGGTATCTGGGAGTTTTTTTGGGTCGCTGATTACATATCTAAAGTCATTTACCAAAAACTCAAAATGGCGGATCCAATATGGCGGACGAAAATTTAAAAAAATCGGTGGATTTCTATGTAACTGGGTACTATTTTTTTTTAACTCTTTCATAACCAAAGGTTTTATAACTCCAAGTATTTTTCTGTTTAACACACAACCCCTCCCCCCTCTTCCCCGTGGATCTCGCCACTGATCTTATATTTATATTCAGATACATTCCTGTTAATAATTACTTTTGAATGATTTGACATACTGTCACTAAAATGTAAATATCTAAGCCAATTGGTTAGACTTGGTTATCGAACTTACCCTCTGCATTTGCGAAGGTGTAAAGAATAATATGCAAGTGGTTTTATAACGGCCTTCGGCGGCCTTTACTTTTCCTACTCTTTAATTTATTTTTTTAATTAATCAAAACGACGATTTTTCAGAATAAATTTGCTTATACCAATGTGGACATAAATTGCGTTATGACCTCTGAATCTATAGCGGAATAAGTGTAATTTTTTGTTTATAAAGTCAATTTGCAATTATGCAAATATTTGTGAGTGCAATTAGCAATCTTTTAAGTTAAATTTCAGCTTTTAAAATAGAGTTCTCAACTAGGCGGCGTTGACTTACCTTTTTTTGTTTGTTTTCATATGTTAATGCTTTAATAAATGCAATTTCTATTTGAATGTATTGTCAGGAATGTATTCCAAGTACCATTAAGTATTTTAAAAACAAAAAAATTTTGACTTTCGTCCAGCTAGATCTGCTATCCGAACCAGTGTGGAGCGGGTGTTGAGTTCGCTTACGCTTATTGTAAAGTTGTAATATGTATATCATTAACATAAAGGTTAAGGCAGTAGTGTTTACAAGGGTTAACTTTGCGACTCTAAACAAGAGTTAATACCAGTTGTTATTTGACATTTTGGCTATTCTTTCTCTTCCCCTTTCGTTTTTGCATTGAACTGTAACTAGCTTTTTAGAGTACTTGGTTTTTCGCTCGCTCAAGTTCTGGTTGGATTTTTACAGCCGCTTATTAACTTTTTTCGCTACGATCTCCCGCTTTTTATATACGTTAATCCGCCTTGGATNGTTTTCGCTCGCTCGAGTTCTGGTTGGGTTTTTACAGCCCCTTATTAACTTTTTTTCGCTACGATCTCCCGCTTTTTATATACGTTAATCCGCCTTGGATAATTCCGCATAAAAACCTATTGAATCTATTAAGTTAAGTATATACCAAATAAAGGAAAGTGAATTCCGAATAAACTGCCTTTTACTTAATCCGCATTGGTCGCTTAGCTTTGATGCAACCATATATACGCAAGTAATCCGCCGCAACA